GGGGGGAGTTAAAAGAGAGAAAGACACAGACAGACAGATTCTACAGTTAGTTCCAACTTATGCTCGCCCAGAATTTGCCTGCATCGTCAACAAGCTGCAGCACGAGCACCTTACGTGACGCAAAAAAAATATATAATATAGATGAATTTATCGAGTCAACAACACCTTTTCATAACACAATAAACGCTCTAAAATGAACGTTCCTAAAGGTAATACTATCAACCTACCTATCAAGTCCTTGTACAGACCATAGAAAGCAAGAATAAGAAGAAAAAAACTAAACAAACAAACAAAGAAATCGTTCCCTGGTGACACCTCACAATCACGGCGCAGGGTGTGCCGTTGCTGCTCTTTGAGTGCACAGCGAAAGAAGCATCACTCACTCAATAATTCCGTACTTAACTCGTCAGAATACATTTATCTCTTCGTTGTTCTATATATTTGTCAGGGGGAGAAAAGATTGGGTTCCCACAGCTCAGAAGAAAGGCCAAAGGCGTAACGGCCAATGCATGAGCGGTCTCTCCCCCACCCTCCCCCCTTTCCTCGTCCCAATCTTTCCAATTGTTTTCTCACCACCGTCACAGGACGTAAACACTTTTCAATCGTGCTGACATTTTTCTTCATCTCACTGAACTTTGCCAATACATAACCCGTCTGAACGAAACATGAGAACGAATCGAAACCCACTTAAATTCGCACTTGGATGCCCGCCCCCCTCTAAGCCAGTGACATCATCGTGGCCGGTACAAACGTTCTGTTTTCCCCAACTGTCACCTGTCACGGACGTATTCGGTAACAAACGGGTCTCCCAATCATCTAGATAGCTTAAAATAAAGTCGTCTCCACCGAAGAAGCCGGTCATCAGTAAGCAGAAAAGGCGGGTTCTTGTTCGGACAGGGTTCTTACGCAGATGCCAAGGAGCACCCCTCAAGCACTACCTGTTAGCTTCCTTTGTTCCTTCTATGATGAAATAATAACGAACAGGCAACATAGCCTTGGTGAAAGGAAAGAACAAACGTCAAATGGGTAACTTTAATAAAACAGTAGGACGCTTTGATCAGGTGAGATGGGCACGTTACTGTACCAATCAAAAACCACCACAACATATTTTGACCCCACCGGCAGCGCTCACGCGTGTGCCTTAAAAAAATGGTCAGGAAATATTCCGTGAAAGTCCAAACATAGTGTATACCTTGGAGTAACTATGTATACATTTCGTGTCGGCTAGTCCACGCAAACCTCTCTCTAAAACAGCTCAGAAAGGTCATTTGATCGAGCTTAAACTGGGGTCCTAAGTGGATTTCTTTTCTAGAATGGGTTCTTTAGCATGCAAACAAAAGACCCCCCAAAAATATTGTATTACACGATAAAAGAGGGGTAATTTTGGGCGAATACCAATTTAGAGAAACACACACACACACACACACACACACACACACACACACACACACACACACACTAAAAATTCTCCCCACACGACCGCAGACTCCGGTTCAAATTGTGACATTGAACACGTCTCCATAGGTCAGAAAATAGCATACGCACGAGAATGCTTGAGACCACGAGGCACAATGTTAATTATGCCTACTTACTCACTGTTACAACGTGGAACTGTGTTGACGGAGCACGAATGTCTTGTTTGCAACTACAGTCATCTTATAGTTGTAGTCGTAGAAGGGTTATAAAACACTGTTCCCCAAGGGTTTCAAACTCAAACTACCCGAGGATCGCTGGATGCAGTGCCTTGGGGAGCTTGAGACGAGTAAAAAATTCCACAAAAAGAAGAGTTTAAGTTTCTGGGGTTTGTTCTGTTTTGTTTCTAAAGATTCTTTGCTTTTTTTTTTTTGGGGGGGGGGGGGGGTTAAGTATAATGACCTACCTAAGTATATTGATCTAATCTTTTTGATCTTGATTAATTAACGTTCAGGACAAAAACGGTTTTTAGAAAAATAGGTTTCTCTGAAGAAAAAAATGGTACGTGTGAGTAATACATGCAAACCACACTAACACTACACTTTGATGATGTCAAAGTGGGGCCACAAATGTTGTACTGGGGGCCTCAATTAGCCAGCGGGCCGCAAATTTGAGACAGCTGCAGTATTCCAACCGAAAAAACACACCATGAAACACCGCTGTGAGGGTCAAGATGGGAACCAATAAGGCAACACTGCGCTACCTCAAAATTACAACGTTCTTTCTGCTGAGTACCTTGTTTTGAAAAATTTTCCGTAAATATTTTGAGTTTCACAGTATTATGTCAAGCCTTTTCGAATGCAATTCTTTTAACAACGACTAAGAATAATCTTACAATGTTAATACATCAGATAGAGCATTTGATTTCTGGTCTCAAATTCAGAAAGGCCAAAAATGCCAGTTAGAACTTTGCAATTCTGAAGTAGCGACAGGCTAGAAAACAAAATAACGTTCTGTTTTCCCAGCTCCCATAGGCCACGGACGCCCTTGATAATTGATGAGCGCCACAATCTGGCCCGATAGCTCCCACCTCCTCGGTGACATTGAACGCCTTACCACGGCACTGACACCACGTAAAACCTTCGCTTTCATCCTGCTCCGTGACCTCGATTGACCCAGGCTCAGCTGTGCCTCTCCAGGTGCTAAAGTAATCTTCTTTGGCATCGTCAATCAGAGGGGATCGCGCTAACGCCACGACAAGAGGAGACCCGTCACCCCACACTTGCCCCACACGCCACCACGTAAAATCTCCGGGGTACGTCAATCTCACCCCTTCCCTCTTTGTGCACGCACGCGCACGCACACACATGAGCGCGCGCACGCACGCACGCACACGCACACGCACACGCACGCACGCGCACACACACACACACGCACGCACACGCGCACACACACATCCTCTTGCAAAAACACTAG